ATTCTAAAGGTCTTTCAATTCCCTTTATAATGATATAAAATTAATGTACTTCAGTTCAGTAGTTTTGAAGATTTATTGATTTAAATCTTAAATAAAACTAATACATCATCATTAGTGGAGATCAATACATTTGGCAGCAAAGTAATTTAAAAATGAAGAATGAACTGACCCGTTAGGCAAGTAAATGTTGAAAATGGCGACCGTGACTCTCCATGCAGTAATAAAGATTTTGCTCAAAACATTGCCGCACATTTTGCAATATTTGAGGAGTAATTTGAAGGCACTCATTCACAATTCTTTGTCGCAGGTATTCTAATGATGTTGGCTGAGTAGCATAGATTTTGCTTTTTAAATGACCCCACATAAAGAAATCCAAAGGTGATAAATCTAGCGATGTACCGCCGATTATTCTGATTTTCAATTATGGCTGTTAATGCAGGATCTATGGCATCTTCCAGTAATTCCAAATACATTTCACCGGTCAAATTTCCAGGTACGAAAAAAGGACCAACTAAATGATCGCCAAAAATACCAGCCCAAACATGTAATTTTTGTGGCTGCTGTGTATGAACCTCATGATAAATTCTGGGATTAGAATCGGACCAATATCGGCAGTTATAACGATTTACTACGCCATTTAAGAAAAAGGAACATTCGTCAAAAAAGCAGGTGTTGAATAGAAAATGTTCATCGTTTATAACTCGATCACTCATAATCTTCATAAAATTGAAATCGCAGATCAAAATCGTCTTCATTAAGTTCTTGTACCAGGTGAATTTTATACGGATGAAAACTATGGGCCTTTAGAATCCGTTGGACAGTACGTCGACTAACACCACACACAGTCTCCAATTTGCGGGTACTTAACGTAGGATCTACATAAACTTGCCCTAAAACCCCCACTTCTATTGCTTCGTTCCTTATGGGATTTTCAATGTTGCGTTTTTTATTGGCGACTGACCCAGTTTCCCGAAATTTAGCTACAAGTTCTAGAAGATATTTTCGATGCACTGTTCTCATGTCGCTCATTAAATATTTATGCTGTAATAGAACAGCACTGATTATTTCCGAAAAATATTTCGATTATTTCAACTCTTTCTGCTATGGAATATACCATGGTTAATTTATGTAATAAAGCATTACAAGTTATTTTAGCAACCAAGTTTGGTCAAATCAATCGCAAACTATGTACTAAATTCCTATTTGAAATAAGTACGAGATATTTCCATATCTTTGTTCAAGAAATAACTTTTTTGCCACAAAAAACGCTCCAATAGCTATTTTCAACAACAAAATGATAAACAAACCATGGACGTAGTGAAGAAAAGCATTTACTTATTGAGTAAATTCTTTTAGTCAAATTTCTTCTGAAAGTAGTACAAACTAATTTGATGTACCTATTAAAGTGTATTTTAAGCTTTAAATCAATAAATCTCCAAAACTACTGAACTGAAGCTCATGTATTTTACATCATTATAAACTGAGCTGCCAGTAAATGCGTCCGTTTCGTTTTCGATGCGCCACCCAGTATAACTCCGTGAATATTGGTCCCTCCTCCAGTGGCGGTTGGACACCACTTCTTAAATGAAAGGTATTGAAAACATGTCAGTGTCGGACCTCTTAACCACCGCACTATTATGTAGCTTTACTTTTTCTTCATTAATTTGGGGTATCTGATGATCAGGGCCATCTTGACCTATGCAGGTCTCCTAGGTACATAGGTGCGGGGAAAAGTTTACACAAGGCAGAGCGAAGTGCGTGGTCCTACTTAAAAATTGAAAAGAGGAGGGGGGTTGACTCTCAGATATGTTTCAGGAGATTTACTCGATTTTTTGGCATTCAGGAGCACGCATGGAGATGGGGTCTGGGTACGCGTCTCTGGTGCTAATGGGGTAACAATAGAATTGCTGATGATCCAGCCCTTATAACCCATTGAGGAAGATGTTCAAAAAGGGGACCTCGGTTGGCCGCGTGGGTCAGAGTGTCGTGCTACTGATCAGCCGGCCGGCCGGGCCGCGAGTTCGAATCTCGCCTTCGCCATGGATGTTGTGTGTTTGTTTCAGGCAGCAGCGGTGGCCGCAGTAGTAGACCCTTCGGTCTCCTGATCAGCCGCCGTGCGCTGTGCGGGTTCGAGTCCCGTCCCAGGAGAAATGTTTCTCTTGGCCATGGATGTTGTGATTGTCCGTAGGTGGTAGATGGTCTCTGACTGTCGAACGCGGAGGTACCACCCGGCGGTTCTCGTAGGCGGAGCCAGAATGTGTGCATGTTGCATGCACACGTGTTCCCTCGCCAGAGTCCGTGTGGCGTCCCCCCTTTCCCATGTATCTCCCATAGCCCCACGGTACCCAATGGGTGCTTAGGCCTTAGGCCTTCGTGGTAGTTGGAGTATAAAAAAAAAAAAAAAAAAAAGGCTTAAGTGATGTGATGTTGACTCATTAGCCTTCCTTCAATACAAAGCGTAGAATATTATCAATATTGATCTGAAGAGTTACTCTGAGGTCAGATTACTATTTATCGATTTAAGGAACTCGGTTAACATATTCAAAACCGTTGGATCTGTATCAAAATATTTTACACCAGGTTTTATACTAGTCACGATACAAACTTTCCAGGTTCTTTTCATTAGCACTACACAACAATACACTAATAGCGGCACTAGCAACAATTAGGCACTACTAGGAAGCTCGATATATTCTGTTCAACTTATGCACTTACGTATGACCGATACGAGTTGACCAGCAAGTTCTAATTGCAAGTTGGTACGGTGATATTTAAAACCGTAAAGATGATACCACCCTTTCAGTGGATCATATTTCTGGCAGATATTCCATCTGTTGATGATACGTCAGTACGGGGGTCAGTCAATTATTTTGCGTATCTAAGTAGATGGCTAATAGACTTGCGGATTGAGCAGCAACGATATGTTCTTAGGCAAAGCCCAAGGATATCAAGGAATTGTATATACAGGGTGTTCTGAAAGTTATAGTAATAACAATAATGTGTTAATGAGAAAGAAAATAATAATAATATTTTAAAGGGCGATTCCGTGTTAAAAAATATGAATAGAAGTTTCTATAATCATGGGTCCGGAAATACAGAGTTTCCATGATACAGGGTGATAAATTTGAAAAAATGTTTATTAATTTGTTGTAGTGTACTTTATGTCATGGTACCTATTGGAAAAGTTGCAATAATACGCTTTCCTAGACATTTCTTTGATTTTCTGTTTTCCAATGAACTTGTGATATTATTAAAAAAATATTTTTTTTTAAATTTAACACCCTGTATCTTGAAACTCTGCATTTGCGGACCCAGGTTTTTCATATTTCTTGACAAGATTCCACCCTCTAAAATATCTCCGTCTATTTCTGTATGTTAGCAATAGCCTAATCTAAAAGTAACCAAAAAGCGCTAGGTCACCTAAATTAAACATGGAAATTGTCATAATTTAATTGCTCATAAAGTAACCCAAAACCACTTCTTTAAATTTATGTGGATTGCATGATTTGAGCTGATAAGAGAGTTATAGTAACTAGCAATAATAAATTTGGAGCTCCTGTCAAAAAAACTCTCATGTGAGATGGTATATTTATTAAGTGTTTATGTCTCGTGTCAACAATATGGATGTCTGCGCGAAATGATACTTTTTAGCAGATTAGGGGGCTCCTATAGTACAGTATTTTGTGAAATTAGCAGATACCATATAAACGCAGTCTTTTCTCCATATTTAGCCAATTTAATTCCTTCAGATTGTCTGCAACGTGCTCATACTTTTTAATCCTACATATAAACCGAATGCATGAGTTCTGTACACGTTGAATACGATTAAGACTGTCTTGATCTGGACATGGACCATATACAGGTGCAGAGAATTTAAATTATGAAAGTAATAGAGCATCGCACAACATCTTAGTGTCTGTTGATAAATATGATCTATGGTATATGTAATCTCTACAAAGGACATATAAGGTTAAGGCTTTGGTGTAGCATTACTATGAACATTTGCTTATTGTCGCTTGACCAATACGCTTTGCAAAGGAAAGTAATAATTTGGAGGACATGTATACTGAGTGACAAACAAAGGTAACACCTACGTATGTTTATCCGATTTTAATAATTTTTGGCATATATGTTCAGTGTCCCTTACTAGTAAAATGATTGAATTTTCAGCTTGATTCATCGACTGACTGCAGAAGCTGGATCAATAATGCGGATTTCTTATATGCTCAATGACATCGTGCTGATAAGGTCGTCGACATCCTGTTGGGGTGTCTCATTCTAGGCTACTGCAACCTCGTGAGTAAGAACTGCTAAAGTCTGTGGAGGGTGAGTATAGGTCAGGCGATCGTGGTTGCCAAGGTAGACGGTTGATGCGATGCTGATCCATGAAGGCTAATGATGCTCTCGCAACATGCGGTCTGGCATTGTCTTGCTGAAAAATCGGGTTATGGATGGTGTTTATGTATGGAATAAGATGAGGCTCCACTACTTCCTCACCATATTTTCGGAATTCTTAGCTCCTAGAAACCGAAGCGAATGATTTTCTGGTACAAGTCAGCTATCTATCAATACCAGATGAGCGCGTGGACGCCTTTTGTTGGTTAAATTACAATATTGTGTCTTGAAATCATTGAGCTACTATAAACTAATGTGTCTCTAAGATATGAAAATCTCCAGGTTTTTGCCAGAGAAACTGCCTTCAACGGTATCCTTCTCTCCAGCCCAACCTCAGAAATAGATCTGGCACTCTAAATACCTAAATGCAGCTTCCGAACAAATTCACTGAGGATCAAATGCCTTCACAGTATATTTGGTTCATTCAAATTTTCAATGTCCTATGCTGTTTCTTTGTTAGAAAGTTTTTAACAAAAAAAACTATTTTTTAATTTCGAAATTTACCGTACAACAACTCATTTTCATAATCTCGGGATAATAGGTAATTTTAGTATTCAAGATACATTTATGAAAATAGTATACTGTTTTAAAACACTTTATTTCGACAGCAGGTCATAATTTTAAAAATCGACTCCAATGTAAGGTATTCCGTTAAGGAAACTGCTATAAAAGAAGAAAATTCACCCACGATCCTGTTAAATTAATCCAAAAACTCGATAAGATGTTAAAAATATACTTACTGGCTGCTGCAGTAGCTGCAATAGCTTTTTTACAATTTGTTAGTGCAATGCCGCAAGGTAATTATGTCTATCATTTCATAGTGTGTGTATGCAGGACATTAAAGATGAAATTAAAATTTTAAGAATTCTGTTTTCACAAAAGCGTCGTTTATTATGAGATTTGATGTAACCGTTTTGAGATGTTGTGGTCAGAAAAATATATTGGTACCATAAAATACTTTATAATTTCCAAGCCTCTCAGTATGTGAAAGCTTCTAAATTCATTTTTATAATACGAAACTGGTTAGCTGTCTAATAGTTATGTTTTTTCAGATATTTTTTGTCCACCTTTTCTTGATCCTACGAACTGCTACAAAAAATGAGTTTTATCAAAATGGTAAGTTTTAAGTACACCACCAGTAAGTATGTGTCTAACTTCTTCTCGCATTGACTTCATAACTTGATTTGTATATGCCATAATGACAAATCTGTTAGTTATTCATTCAGTTTCTATAGTTTGATAATTCTGAAGAATATCAGTAATGTCGGTCAGAAGCTTTCTGTGAGCATACGAAATCAGGACAAACAAAAAAGATTAGAGTTCTAATGTAGACTCTTCTTGCAGTATGAGTACCGAACAGAGAAGAGAATGCGATGACAATGGATAACTGATGTTCAATTGTATTATATTTGTTCAATTAAGGGCGTGATAAACTTTAAGCAATTTGGCATAGTACTTTATTTTTCAAGAATGACCATTTGACCAAAAAACCGCACGTTATGCCCAAGATCTTGGATCTTATCTTTGGCCTCAAAAACTGTAGGCCTCATCTGTGTCTTTGTGTGGTTACCCTTGCAAAAACAAAAAACGTTCACCAAGCATTGCTCTTCGCAATAGATGCGTGTTTGATTTTTCTACCTTATCCTTCTTCTTCTTCTTCACGTGCTACTCATACCGAAGAAGAATGGCTTTTTTCAGATGCGCGGCTGAAAAGTCCAATTGAACTACACCTAAACCAAACACGTAGGTGGCGCAGCCATGAAATTTATCTCCTTCCTACACTTATTCTGTCTTTAATTTCAGCCTGCATTATGTTTTTTAGCATCTCTAGCTTTCTAATTTTTATTTCATTACTACTTCCATTTCTCACTATCCTCACTCCCATCCTGTACCCTGCTAGCTCCCATAAGCATGGTGGTCAGAGAACAGATCTATCAATAACCATAGATAATTTGTATCGATAAGAAGGGGTGTAAGTGCTCCTCCCTGATCATACGCCTCATATTTAGCTCCCTTACAAGCTGGCTCGAGGTGTTTACCCACTTCTCGATATGTATTATTTTTTGAATACGAACTACATAAGGTAGAGAAAAGCGCGAGAAGTATGTATCACATGTTAGAAAGGGCGAAGGTCATCACCACATTGCCTAGCAACGGTGACACAGAAGATCGTGGAATATGTCGCGTTGCCAATTTATTGTACCATTTTGCGACAGCGCTACTTCGGCACAATTCAGGAATGTGTATGCTCGAAATAAAAAAATTATTTGCGCGTGGAGAATAAACTAACGCATATTTTCAATATGCATCTTAATTTAAGGAACTGGTGTTAGATATAGGCAACGCGGCAGATTGCTGCGTCAGCGCTCCTAGGCAACGCGGTGATGAGTTCCGCTATCCAGACGGCTTCTATCTCTTTCTAAAATATGTATCTTACACACTTCTCTCTGGTACATATTGAACTTCAGCCGTCAGATAAATTTGATTATCATTCTATAGCTCAGTCATTAAGTAATAGTGCTTAAGCCTTTGTGACAAAAAAAGAATACGATAAACCAGGTTTAATATCTTGCTACAATAGTGATTATAATATAAATCAGAAACAAGTCTTTCGTAGTTGCAAAATTTAATAAATGAGGAGTATGTACGCAAGTAGTGTCGCAATAGTGCGATAAAAACATTACAAAAGGAAAATGCCCATTTGTTAAGGCAGGAATATTGATGAGATGTTTAAGACATACTTATTCTATCTGCATTAGCTGTTTCACATCTTTTCAGTACACTGCCAGGACGAGGTAAGTAAATAAATTTATTATTTTATGGCATAGACGTATCATTACATATGCCGGTGCCATCTCCAGCAAGTCAATACGGTATGTAGTAGTTGCAAACAACTCGTTCGAACTTCTTGTTACTGCAGCGAAAGCGACAGGTTAGAATTTAGTTCTACTTCATGTCTGTTTTCCTACCGCTTTTAGCTTCCGTTTGTTGCTGCTGCACTCCTCGGAATGACAGGTACAATCTACGACCTCAAAATACTGCGCTTGCACCGAAAAATGCCAAATATAATAATCAAGACGTACAAGGTTTAGATTATAGTTTTTGTGTTTAGAAAGTATTCTGAGCATGGTGGTCACCTTCTATTCTACACAAAAAATTGGTTATCCATTTTTGTATAAAACCAAAACTATTTCAGATCCATATTGTCTTGAACCTACAGGCTGTTACAGATGATTATTATCGAAACGGTAAGTCTGATATATTAGCGCGATTTTGGATCTGAATCAGATTGTTTTCAGGCAAGATCTTTTGTCATAATAAGTTTGGTGAAGGAGGATAGTCTATGCTAATCTTTGTTATGATCAAATATGTAATCCAATCAATAAAGCAATAAAAATTTTCTATTCGAGTTGTCTTCATATTTTTTATGGACGTCGTTTGAAGATTCAAAAGCTTCAGAGGACCAAAATACTTTGTCTACAACTTCATTCTGTATATCAAAGATCAATCCCTCCAGTTCAGTTGGTTCTTGCAAAAGAATCTTAAATCGCCATTTCGTTCCGAAATATTTTTTAACTCATCGTTGGTTGTACAACAGTAAGTATTTTAAAATTAGTTTAGTCTATTCTCAATTATTATAAACATTATTTTTATCTAATACTGACTAATTTTATTCTCTGAGAATTGAGGACATTGCTCCTGAAGGTTTCTTTAGTTTTCTTCGGACTTTCTCTATAAAAAACTGGACCAAGATAGGTACAACTTCTTTGTATTTTGACCTTCTGAACTTGGGGTATTCGTATATTATTAATAATTCTATGCCTGGTGTGATGGTGGTGTGAGATACTTGGGCTGGAATTTTTATACTAGAATTCTCTGATGGTGACAGCAATAAAAAATAACTGTCTAACATCAGACAAACCAGCTTTTTAAAACAACGCTTGGGTAGGGTATCTGTAATTTTTATCGAATATAATCAAAATCATAATCGTTTCTTGGATGACAAATAACAAATAACTAAGTCCTTCGGGCCACTAATTGTCGTTGAACAATTTTTACACCACAAAGAGCCATCTAACGGTAATATTGCGGATTGCATCGCTGAATTGCATAAGTGGTACAGCTGCAAGCAATATACATACATGCATACATGAGATCTGTCACGGAACATCGAAAATTACAGATCCTCGCATCGGAACATTGTCGCTCTCAGCTAAATACGAACCGAGTATTAATCAGCGGAAGATTACGAATGAAAAGATTCACTCGAACGTAGCAGAATATTCTGTGTGAAGAGAAAAATCGGTTCTCGGTTTTTTCTGATGTCTCTTGCTTATCATGGATGGCAGCTAAGTTCAATAATGAAACTCACAAGTCGATCTAGGAGTTTGTGCTACATTGATCGATAACTGGTCGGTACAGCTACTTCTTCCTCCCTAGGAAATCAATAATAATACAGGCCGACAAGATTTTTAACCAGAAACAAAAGTATACTTTTACAAATTTAAGTTCTTATGTTTTCGAATTTCACTATATTTGATACTCTATACACGTTTTACGTGTGTATCAAAGTTGTTGTTTGGATTATAATAGACCAAGAAAATAAGACCTGGCAAGTAAAAAACCCATAAATCCTCAATAGTGTATTCAAAAAATAACTAAAGCTCAAGCTCATAATCTACTCTACCCCATCAAAGCCGAGTTTAATGTTCTTTCTGTCGACTGAGCTTTTTTTTAAATAAAAAAACACTTCTTTCACGTAAAAGCTGAACAGATAAGAAAAACAACGGAAACTTCAAAGAGCCATATCTCTAACGAAGAAAAAGATACTTCAGCAAACTCAGCGAAAAAGCAAGGCTTGTAATTTGAAATGATGGTTCTTAAAAAAATTCTCAATGCTACATAGCCCCAAATATCGTCCCCCAAAGCACGAAGTGTCGTAACTGACATTTCCATAATTTTACAGGAGAGAAGCTGCATGTCATACAATAAAAAGTGTTTCACAAAACTTTTTGAGCCTATCATACTCAAATCCACTAGTTTTCAACTGCAGCTAGCAAAATGGTTGTATGCTGAATAAGTTTTGAGAAAAAAATTGATAAGTCAGATACGTCATTTCGTGTTGCCAAAAATAATTCTTTAATTATGTAACGACGAACAAGATGCATACATGATGGTTTATAATCAGAGGAAGGAAGAGAGAAAAGTTCTTGTTAATAATTTTTATTGACAAAGGTAAGACACTAATAAGCAAAAAATATACCAAAATTCTCAAAATCTATTTAAAAAAACTACACCTAAGCCTAAGCCGTGAGGTAAGTCTTCATAAAATTTCTTTATCTCCGGTAGTCTTATCACTGGATTTTTCCATTACATAACGCAAGGAGGTCATTATATTTCTTATTAGAAATATTTATTGATGAGGCGTATAGTGGTCTAACTGACATTTCAGTATTTGCTGCGCCTCTTTTTAATTGAATGAAATCATAATCTTCTGTTAAATGGCTCGTCTTGAAAAATATTTTATCTTGGTGTAGCTTATCAACTTTAACTTCCATGATGTCTGTCCAGTTAATTGTTCTTCCTGAAGCTGTAGTACGTAGGGATAAAACCCTCAAATTCTTTGATAAAGTTTTGAAATCCATGAAGTCTCTAAAAGTTAGGGGATATACTTTATACGGATGTTTCCGTCTTGCCAAATTGATAATCGGTAGTAGCTGAGTCGGTTCAAAGATATCCCCTGCTTTTAAAATTGCAGAAATACTGCTATGGGCAGAATCCCCTTCATTTTGTCCATGATTTGTAACAAAGAATCTTAAAGTTATTTCCATCAACGATGGAAGGGTACTCAAGGCATACAGGAGCATAGCGACAACTATAGTGTTCTTATTTTGACTATAGCACCCATCAGAAAATAAAACAACTTTTGTCTTATCCTGCCTAGAATATTCCTCTAAAATTTTAAAAAGGCAGGTCGCTATCTCTGAGGATCCTCTGTTACCAGCTGCTTCATGCCACACAAAGCAATAACAATCTTCACTAGCTAAATCATAAAAAGTGAAGTTGAAGTTCGATAATCTACTTTTATAAAAAAATGCATTTTCCTTACTGATTGGTAGGTAAATGACCTGTTGAAGATCAAACACACCACATAAAACTGTATTGTCAGCCATCGCTACTTCTTTAAACAGTGTCTTCAATTCTCTAACCTTAGTTTTCTCTTTAATATGCTTTTCAAAATCCTCTTTCAATTTTTGTTTCGCTGTTTCATCTCCCTCTCTAAACGAAAGATACAACGAACACTGGTCTTTCTTTGGATGATAGAAAGACAAATTTTTGGATTTGAAAATTTTCTTATACATCGTGATACAAGGTTTTCTTTCGATACTCTGCTGGCTCAGCTCTTCAATGAACATATCATACATCCTTTGCAATGTCAAATCTGGATGTAGATACTCACGCGAAGTCTTGCTTCTGCAATAATGCGATTCCATTTTTGGATATCTATCAATGTGGTCACTTATCTTGTTT